TTGTCGTAGATATACAGGGTGTCCCGAAATTAGACGGTCATATTTTAACAGCATTATCTACATCCTAAAATAGGAGTAAAAGTTTATATAAACATAGGTCCGAAAACGTTTCTTTTCAGAGATACAGGGTGTTAAAAGTGAAGTCCTGATGACACTCTTTTGTAAATATTTTCTAAACGTTTGAAGATATCTAAGTGAAATTTGGTACAAATGCTTACCTTTTCACGCTCTATTTAATGGATTAAACCACAGTTTTTGATCATCTTCATAGGTGGGTAAATTAGGGGGGGCTTAGGGTAAAATTGCCCTAAGTTTTTTTGTTGATAATTTTTAACATTTTTGACTATAAAATTTGGAAAACCAATGTTTTCTTTATAATAAAGCTACCATTGTTACATCTCGCTAGGACGCACCATTTTCAAGAAAAAAGCATTTGAAAATTTCATGATAAGTTATTCGAAAGTGTAGGCCTGTGAAATTAGAAATTTTATTTTTTTTTACTTTAGAAAACCGGTAACTAAAGAAATTTTAGAAAATATTTACAAAAATGTGCCATCAGGACTTCACTTGTAACACCCTGTATCTCGAAAACGAAACGTTTTCGGACCTATGTTTATATGAACTTTTATTCCTACTTTAGGATGTAGATTACGCTGTTAAAATATGACCGTCTAATTTCGGGACACCCTGTATACAACTCCATCATGCGAGTTGAAGTTGCCGGAATTATAAATTATGGTACACCCCCTATTTTGTATAAATCAGTATCATATATAACATGTATTTCAGTAAGGATCAGCACATCAAAATCTAATTGGTTAATTAATAACAGAAAATCATCAAAGTGTTTATGGATATTTTTATGTAAAATCTTTACTTGATTTTCTTTGTTTAGCATTGATGATATTTCCGAAGGATGTTGTATCACATTGCTAGGAATTGTTTGAATATTATAGTATCTTATAAAGGGATCCATTTAATAATGTTATTAATTGTAGTAAAAAAATTAAATCAAAGACACTTTTACCTTCTACGTCTGGATGTGTTTACCATCTGCGCTAGATTGAGATTGTAATCTAAAATGTCTATTGGTAGAAGTTTGAAGGTTCGTAATTACTAGATGTCTTGGATTAACACTTACTTTAGCCTTAGGAGTCGTGTTGTTTATTATTGGTTGTTGTTTCGTAGCTTGTTGTTCTTCTCATTTTCATTTGTTTTTCTTAAGTTTTTTTCACCGTTATTTTTTTCATTCGATGTATCACTTATATTTGTAAAATATGGCTTTGCTGGAGCACTACTTACTTTTCTTTCTTCTACTTGTTCTAATTCGTGGACGGTATAGGAGTTATTGTTGATATATAACTTGTTTCCTTTAATAAACGATTTATTTTATTTGTTTTCCCGGGCCTTTTGTAGATGTGTTCTTAATATTTTATTTTTTGATCTCTGCTGATAAGTTAAGTCAGAGACAACTTTATTCCAGTCTCTTTTAGATTTCTGCACTGTTTTAGTAATTCAATCTTTTTCCAATATGATAAGAATTCAATATTTACGAAACTATTCATTCTGTATAAGTTGTTTGAATGGGATGGAGTAACATCTACATCTAAGAGATCCTTGAATATTTCACAAATATTTTTAATGTTTAATTGTTCTTTATTCAAACCGAAAACTAAGATGTTATTCATCTTAATTTGTCGCTATAAGTATACTACTCTATTTGATATGTTTCTGTTTTCTTCCTCCAAATTTTTTATTCTTCTGCTTAGGTCTTCAATTTTTAATAGTATGTTACTTGCTAAATTTTAATTTAGTTCGGTTTTTAAGAATTTTATCTTTTAAAGAATTTATCGATTTGATCAGAGAATCCATGATATTAACACAAAATGCGTTTCAAGTTGGCTCAGTAGCCACTGCCAATTCTTAACACAATAGAAATTAATTATATCTCTAATTCCAACAAAAAAAACAGATATCAATGACTACTTTTTTATTACAGACAAATAATGTTTATTGCACGTTTACACTAAAAATCCTATCTCCTAATGTAAATTTTGTAGTATCTCTAATATTTTCATGTAGACTATGATTAGCACTTTAATTTGATAGGAAACGCAGTTTTTTTCATAAAAATTAACTATACTAGATTTTAATTTATATAGGATTTAACAGAAACACGTCGTTACCGTTCGAAATATATACAGGGTATCTGTAAAAGGTCTTTACAAAAACATACCACATATTCCTTAGACCAAAATAAGTCCAACTTCAGAGAGATATGTGGTTTATGCAAGATGGAGCTCCACCACATTTTTCTTTAAACGTTAGAAACCACTTGAATGAACAATATCCACACAAATCGATAGGCAGAGGTAATGACGCACCTGTAAACTGGCCACCACGTCCCTTAGACCTAACCCCGATGGATTACTTTTTATTGGGACATATGAAATCCACAGTTTACAGGGAACCTGTAGAAAATGAGGAACAACTCTGGCAACGTATTCAAGATGTAATAAACAATCTTAGAGGTGATGAAGAAGTTGTAGAAAGGATACATTTTAATTTTCTTCGACGTATAAATCTTTGTATGCGTGAAAATGGTGAACATTTTGAACAATTTTTGTAAAATCCCTATTTTGATTATGTTGTAAATAAATATTTTTGTGAAACCTATACACTCTAAATTATTAAAACAGAAATTTAGCAAAAACCATGAGAGTAATCGACTCTTATCAAAAGTACCTTTTTTAAAGTAAATGAGTTGCACAATCTAAGTTTCATACTCAAACTCCTTTTCTTCCATTGGCGTAGAATTTTTAAAGGTGCAATTATTTAAAAAATCAAGTTCTACCCCTATGTATTATTATCGGACAAAATTTTAATACCATTTTTTTTGCCACCAATATACCAAATTTCAGCAAAATCGCATATGCCATTTTAAATTTATATGGGAAAAACGATTTAAAAATTGTAACTTCAAGGCCCTCTGGGGCCCAAACGAAGCAACTTTGTGCTAAGGTAATTTTACTTATTTCGACTTATTTTGGTCTAAGAAATATGTGGTATGTTTTTGTAAAGACCTTTTACAGACACCCTGTATAAATACTTATTAACATAATTTAGTTTCAGAGAACAAAATAGTCTTCCTGCAAGTTTTAACAGACTTCAAAAAAAGAAGGAGATTCCCAATTCGTCGGAATATATATTTTTTTTTATATATGTTAAGCGATAATTCTTTACTGCATGTTCCGATTTCAATGATTCTTTTTCACTTTTCTATCTGTATACAGATAAGAAAAGTATAGGAATCATGATTTATTTCGACCTCCAGTTTTCGACGGATTTTTACGTTTTGGAGTCCCCTGAATCCGTTTCGACTATTTTCGTGATGATGTGTTTTTTTTGTGTGTGTGCGTGCGTGTGTGTGTGTGTGTGTGTGGGTGCGTGTGTGCGTGCGTGCGTGCTTGCGTGTGTGTGTGCGAGCGCGCGCGCGCGTGTGTGTGTGTGCGCGCGCGTGTGTGTGTGTGTGTGTATGTGTGTATGTATGTGTGTATGTATGTGTGTGGTGTGCGTGTGTGTGCGTGCGTGCCTGCGTGCGTGCGTGCGGTATTTGAAAAAATATGGTTATTTCGAATTTTGAAGAAAACTCAAAAACGGATAAAGGAAAAAACGTTAAATTTTAAACTTAAGTTTTATTTCGGCCTGACGTGAAATGATTAGATTTTGGAAAAAGTCGGTATATCCGAGAGGTACTTTATGGGAGGCCGTTTTTATATTTTATGGAATATATCTGTTATTTATGTTTGGAGAAGAAAACTGTTCAAACAAAAGTTACTTCTGATATTATTATCTATAATTTTTGCTTTAGAGGAAAAGTGCTAAATTTAAATTTTTTAGTATTTTTGATTTCAATGAATATCTATAAAAAATGTTTCGAGTTAGATGTATGTGAAAAATGTACATATTTAGTTTACCCTCTAAACATTTTTGGAGGTGCTGCAATAGGTTGTACAAAATAACCGGAAAAAGCCTATAATAACCAGATAGGAAAGTTATGTGTTGGACACATCGGGGTAGTCCCATATGAATTTGATCAAGCTCTGGTGATGGCATTGCACGATTTTATAACATGTATTAGCATTTCAGAAACAGCAATGTTATTAATAAAATATAATAGTTTTGTGAACCAAAAATTATGAAACTACTTTGCTAGTTAGGTAGAAATGTTTGAAAACGATAAGTGAACTAAAATTATTTATTTTGACGACGTCAAAACAATCAAATCGTTATTCGTAACTAAATACAGTGAGTTTAGGTTAAAAAAAATTTAATATGATTCGCGCTTGATTTATGGACCATTCTGTACATTCAAGAATACTTTTAAAATATGGTTGTTAATAGTAGGTACAACTTTTTATTCAAAATATCTTCGCATCTCAAATAATAAAACAGCTATCGATCAATTATGTACTGATTCAAAAAACTGTACATAAATAATAGAATAACATGCTGGTATCGTTGAAAACGTAAATTTATAACGAAATTAATGATAAAACAATATATAAACAATAAAGAGGATGTAGCATTTGAACATTTTTGTAAATTGAACTTAAAATGAGCCATACTTATGACAGGTTCTAAAATACTCTGTATAAAATGCACCGGTTCTAACATCACTATTCGTTAGCTTAATATCTTATTATTCTGAAATTTAAACAATTTTTTAATCATTTCTAAACTACCTAAATTTTTACAATAATATTTAACGTTCAAATTAAAAAATATTTATTTTTATTTGCTAGAAAAAATCGTAACACCATGTATATTTAAAATTATTTTTATAATTTGCCTTTTCCAAATTCACAACTTTTATTTAATGCTTGTTTTCGTGTTAACCACACAAATTGAATTATCGAGCAATTATGCACTAATGGAACAACTCTGTATATAATTTTTCAAAAACGATATTAATTATTAAATAGTATCAAAATACTTACAAAAACTGAAACAATTCCCTTTTTGAAAGTACACAATTAAGGAAAAATATATAAAAGTTGATTTCATTTTAATTACATTAACTTTCGCACGTTTTAACTAAAAGAAATGAAAAAACGTTAAGTGTACATATATTTATATAAAAGCATATCGAGATAGGTAATTAGTAAATTAATTAAATGGTCATTTTTAACCTTGCGCTCAACGTAATTTTCAAATTACAATTATTATTATTACAGGTACATTTTGTTATATTTTGACTAATGCTAAAGGGTTAAACAAAAGTTTGTTTAAATAGAATAATTGATAATTGAAATATTTAAATAATATAAACGGATAAAAATTTGATAACTATAGCTTTTTATCAAAGTGCTAAACATAAATAAATATGATTAAAAATGTTTAAAATTTCGGGCGATTCGAAATTCGTCTCAGTTATCAGATAAACATAGAAAAGGTGTACGATATTCGTCACACTAATCACATTGGATTTTAATTATTCCACAACCATATTTTAAATAGTCAAATACACATTGTATACAAAATTTTACACATTCAAGGGTTATGCCCATATTCGATTGAAACTACTTTAACAAAATTTAGCGTAGTTATTTTTTTGGCACTTTAACTCAGACATTTTTTTTTTAAATATTGTCGATGTCTAGTAGCGGAGTTCTTAGATTTATAAGAACTAACAAAACTATTATATTTTATATACACTTCGGTTTGAAATTGTAATAAAACATTAATAAAATAAAAAATTGTTGGCGAACTGTAACAAAAAGAATTGTTTAAGTGAGAGTGAAAAGACTCGCACGCGTAATCAGAGGAGGCGTCAGCCCAAATGTGGGATGAAAAAGTCGCTTCCTCAGAAAAAAAAATAGTCTACTAAATAATCTGTAAATGCCGTTAACCTGTCAACATTTGATTTAATTTCAAGTAAATCAAAAACAAAAAAAATCGCTTATTCGATTTGGATTTAAGAACACCAACCCAAAACAATAACGAAGCCACTCTCCCGTTCACTATTTTTGTTTTTATATTCACAACTTAATCCTAATTTTTGTATTTTGCGCCACCAACATTGGGTAAGATGAAATCGACAGCCACTAACCGTTGCGTTATCCCACACTTTATGAACAGCATTATGAGTGGTAATTTCAAAATCAACTACTATTCTTTCAGGATTGAAACATATACCATTAAGAGAGCAAAAATGCTTAATTTTTTCCAAACAATGCCTATATATCTCCTCCGATTTTCTTTTTGAATAAACTAAAAACTGGAAGCATATAATGTCCATTTAAGTAACAATGTATGGTGAATAATTGCGTAAAAAATTTAGTGCACAAAAATTGCAAATTTCTTTGGCAACTTAAAATTGTATATACCTTGTTCAAAATTATTTTCTAGCACAAAGTTTTCCTTTCTTTAAGTTTTGTACAAATAAAAAAAGAAAATAATTCCGAACTCAAATGTGACTAGATGTAAAATACATCAAATAATTCTCAAAGCCACTAAGGAGAAAGTCATTCTTGGACCGGTTTCGTCCTTATTAGGACTCTTCTATTTCTTGCTAAAGAGTCCTAATAAGGACGAAACCGGTCCAAGAATGACTTTCTTCTTAGTTAGCAAAATCAAAGGTAGAGTGTTGAAAATGTTTTCTATCTCTTCTATTTTCTTTCGACGTAATTCAATACCTGGTGAGGTATTAGCCAAAGGAGTAGTTGTTGTCGAAAGAGAAACGGCCGCACATATATTGTTGTGACTATGGCTTTGAGAATTATTTGATGTATTTTTGTACAAATGTTCATTTAAATAACTGAAAATGTGAACAAATAATATCAAATAATAATTTAATAATATATATTAATAGTTTTATAGTTTAAAATTAATAGTAACAAAAAATAATTCGTTTCTAATCTTTACAATGTCACAGATGATCAGGCACTTAGATTAAAACAGGTATACGTATTCGCAAAGCCCAAGAGCCATTAAAAGGGCTGTGTGACGAATTTCGTATACCCTTAAATTTTACCTGAGAAGTTTGTCGGTCTAGGTAATAAAGTTGTGACGAATTTCGTACCGTCCAAAATTTCACTACTTTTCGTTCAAATAACAATTTTTCAATCAAAAATTACATTATTTTTAAAATTGCTAAACCTGCTACGAAACACCGGCAGTGTTTACGGGAACAGATATTTCTATAATTCCCACTTTTTAATTCATTAAAATTCCACTATTTATAAATTGTAAACCAATTAAAAATATTTAAATATTTTTGGATGTTGAACCATTCTAATAATATAGTTTTTTATTATATTTTTTGCCTGTTCGACTTTAATCAACACAATTATCTACCTTATATTAATAATAATAATTATATTTTTGATTTTGTAATCTCCAATTCAACTTACAATGTGGTTGTGAAAAATAATAAATAAAAATATATTTCAATATCACTACTTAAGGAGGTCCTTTCGCCACACCTCTCGCCTCAAATGTTAAAAAAAAAGTTATTAGATTATGACTAAAATTAATTTTTTTCTAATAGTTGAAGTCCTTATTTATCTAATACTGAACTTTTAACTAATAATAATAATAATAATAATAATAATAATAATAATAATAATATTTATTGCTTCTAAACCTGAGTTACAGCAATGAGTACAGATATAAAAAAATTAGATCTTAAAACATAAAACAACATTATTCTTCCAGTACAAAAGAGCGCAATTTTAATATATTCCAAATATATTCAGCAATTTTCCTAGCTTCAAAAATTGTTATATTTTGTAAAGTATGCAGCAATGAGTTTACATTTTCAAGGCAAGCGATATTTTGCTTCATTGTTGAGTAAATAGGGCAGTCAAAAAGTATGTGAAAAATTGTTTCTTTTTCATGTGTATTACACACAGTACAATCTAGTTCGGGGTCAATAACTAATAACTAATACCATTTAATGTAAATTTAATCCTAAAATGGTTGGACATACGCAATTGAGCAAGAGTACGGGTAACCTGGATTGGTAATTTAAAGAGTAAGTATGTACTTGGTTCACAAGATGTAGGAACATAATTATATAAATACATAAAAGGATAGCGAGACGCTATACTAACATCTGAATCATGTAAATGTGTAAAATACTTGGAAAACAATTCTTTTCTATATGAACTAAAAGAAGGATGGTTTAAATTGTTCCATTTATGAACACAATCAATATCAACAAAGAACTTTTTCAACTGTACTATCCAGTTATACTTTATATCTGTAGAGTTGATCAAACGCAATTGTTGTTTAAAACAAAGCTTTGGATATCGATGATTATCCATTGTCATTATTTTTTGTATCCAATTAAGGGACATTTTAAAAATATTAAATGCAAACTTTACTCTTCCAGTCTCTAAACGGATTATAGCATCAGGAGTAGTGATGGGAACTAAAAGAACTCTTTTAAGGAAATATAACTGGGCTCTTTCCAATACATCTAAGTATCTTAGGCCCCAAACAGAAATACAATTAAACATAACACTAGGGGCAAGTGACTCAAATAATTTAATTCTAGGATGCCAAGTATTAATTTTAGCTTTCGACATTATCGGAAGGAGAGAACCTATAGCCTGTTTACCTTTGTTGGCAGTAAAATGAGCCATTTCATTAAAAAGACCTGATGAAGTAAATACTACTCCTAGATATGTATATTTATTAGTTATAGAAATAAGTTGGTTGTTAAAGTAAAAATTAAAGTTAGGCGTCCTGAAACCTCCCTTAGAAAATTGCATTATTTTTGTTTTCTGTAAATTAACATTTAATTTATTAGCAACAGTATATTTTTCTAAAATTTTTAACTTTTTAACAACATCAATCTCAGAGTGTGCTAAAATGACAAGGTCGTCAGCATATATTAGCGACAAAACATCATTTTTGTCATCAATATTTATACCTTGAGCACCGTTCTCATAAAAAAAGGTATCAAAGTCAGCTATAAACAGTGCAAATAATAAGGGACTTAGAGGTTCTCCCTGTAGGACGCCCGTTGTCACTTTAAACGATTTGGATAGCCCATTAGATCCCTTTATTTGTACCGTAGCGTGCGAATAAAGCATTTTTATTACACGGAGAATTTTTGATGACACTCCTACATGAAATAATTTGTTCCACAAATCCACATGATCAACTGAGTCGAAAGCTCTTTTAAAATCAACAAAAATTGCAAACAATTTTCTCTTTTTATGCCTTATATGTAAATTAATAACACTGCTTAAGGTGAAGACATTATCTTGACAACCTCGCCCTAAACGAAAGCCAGCTTGACATTCTGGAAGGATATTACATTCATCAGTCCACTGTGACAGTCTGTTGAAAATAATGGAAGTGAATATTTTAGCACAAAAGTTGACCAGAGCTAATCCTCTATAGTTTTCAGGATTATCTGTCGCTCCCCCCTTATGTAGCATAGCTAATAAAATGTTAGACCAAGATTTCGGAATAACTGCAGTTTCAAATATTGAATTAAATAACGATATTAAATAAATAATCCAATAATTTGGAAGATTTTTAAAAAACTCATAAGTTATTCCATCACATCCAGGTGACTTATTAATTTTACAATTATTAATGACTTTATAAATTTCATTTGTACAGAAAGGAGCATCCAGAAAGGGGTGGGTGACATCTTGAAAGGTAAGAGTCAACGTTGTTCTAGGAGGATATATGTTTTGGTAAAAATTTTCCCAAATACATATTGGTAGAACTTTGCGATTTAATGTGCTACGGAACTGTTTAATTGTCTGCCAGAATTCTTTTGGATCATTCAAATTGGATAATTTAATAATAATTTCAGCTTCGTATTCTTTTTTTCTTAATTTAATGGTTTTTTTGTATTCTGCTTTTAAGTTTAGGTAAGTTTGTTTTGAATTTTCAGAAAAATTATTGCTTCTACAAATTTTTAAAGATTCTTTCATGTTCTTTTTGGCATTAATACATAAAAAGTCAAACCATGGTTTATTAGTTTGTGTTTTTGTGTTTAGGAGTGTGGCATTATTTACAGTGTATAGATTTAAGTCAGTAGCTGTTTCTTGTATAGCTGAACAAAAATTAGTAAATGACTCCTCAGGATTAGAGATAAAATATGCTCTAT